TCCGGTTGTTTTGCTCAATTGAGCTACCAACATCACGGTCTTTTTGTTGGAACCGGACCCTACGGGACCCTACGGTATCGGTACCTCCCGTCTTGCCTCATGGGATGCATAGAACAAAGCCCCCGTAGCTGCTGCAAGCACCAATAGAGAAGCGATACAGAAGCCAAAGTCGCGCTGCTCCCGTTGGGACGGCTGCGTCGGCATGGCTCATTCAACGCAAAGGCATGATATGTTACAGCCAACTGCGACTCCAGCACATGCTGAAAGCAAGAATCCAGAAGTACCAAGCAATCGTAGCTAGGCTAGATAGTAGATAGTAGAGAGATACTGGATACTTGATAAAGTGCAGCAAATCAAGCTTCCCATTCTGCCCTCCAAAGACCGCCAACAGGGTGAGGGATCAAAAAATGCACAAGAGATCGGCGTCCAACAAAATGCTCCAAGGGGATCAAACAGAAAAAAAAGAACAGGATCAAAAGAATATTCCCAGTGCACTTTCTGGCAGGTATGGCAATTAGTGAACCTTTATGTGCAAATTCGCGGTAGGCACAGCACTTGGACCTCAGAATGCAGACTTCGTGGCAGGCGCAGTGGTGGGCGGAGCTCGAAGCGCAAATTGTGTGGCAAGTGCAGCACTTTGTTGAAATGGATGTGCAGATATTGTGGGAGGCGGAGTAGTTTGTGGATTTGTGTCTCAACTTGCAGATTTCGTGTCAGGCAAAGTGTTTGGTGTATGAACCCTCCTCTCGCGCATTGCAGACTTTGTGTCAAGCTGAATGGTTGGTGAATGTGCGCTCTCAAGGGGTTGGTGACACAAGACCTCAGCGCGACAAGGGTAAGAAACGAGAAAAAACGTAGAAGTTCATTGCGCAACTTTCGCAGAACGCACCACAGACCCCAAGACCGATGCCCATGAAATACACGTGAAGGAGTAAGAGGCCGAGAAGTAATAGAAGAGAAAACCACGGGACCAGCGGAACAGAAGGACCAGAACGGAGGACCACCGGACCAGGCCAGGGAACTAGAGCAACCTACTAGCGGTGGCCTTCAACCAGAGTAATAGCGCTGGCCTTCAACCTAGCAGATTTATCTTGTTTGTTACTGTTCTTTTGCTTGTTTTGATATACATTGCCATGAGAGCCATAAGAGCACATCCCACAAGGACCACACCGTCAGACCATCCAGGTCTGGTCTTGAGGTGACACGTGCTGTGATGGATTCAGCCAAGCCCTCAGAACAGCGAAGGGATTCCAGACCAGCAAACGTACGCAAAAAGCATCCTCTACACTTGACACTCTGATGTTCATCTCTAGGCATTCATGGATAGACCTTGCTGGATGGCCATGACACCGTCTAGGTCTCCAAGGACATGACCCCAACCGAAGGCAAGGAAGAGGCATAGCGCAAGGCTTGCTGTCGTGTCACCGCCTCGTTTCGTCCGGATGGTCCAAGCGATGGCGTAAACAGCCCGGACGGTGCACCTGCTGGTTCAGCAACGCGATGCGTGCCCTCAGGGAAGCAAATCGATGAAGCGCTCCTTAAACCTCTACAAGTGCTACAGGATCCTCTGGAAGAGTAAACGCAACATGTCCTGTTTAGATGCTCTCTTCAGGCTTCCAAGAAGTCCAGGGTGTGCACTGGACTGTGTCGATCTGCTCCTGCAACTTCAAGACACTTTCTTCCAGCCTCAACAAATATGAGCAAAGCGGAGCAAAGCGGAGCAAAGCGGGGCAAAGCGGAGCAAAATCCAATGTGATTCTTCTTGCAAACCATTCATCTTGAGATTCCTGCTCACTGATGCGTTGAAGGTACTGACGTTCCTTGTCCTGGCCGCATTTGAAGTGTCGAATCATTCTCGCGAATACATGGCTCCACGGGCACCCCACCTCATCTCTGCCCTGCACAAAGGAGGACTGAGTTACCACAGCACTTAAGCAGTTGAGGGCGTTCAACTGGCTGCATTTGGAAAATGTGAGAGGAGTTATCCTGATTGACCATAACAAGTCGCTCTCTTGGCACCAAACAAGTCAAGAGTCAAGACTCATAACAAGTCTAGTGAGTCTAGTACGAGACAAGACTTGTTCTGACACATTGAGACCTTTCGGCCATGACATTGGAAAAGCATCGAAGCAAAGAGAGAAAGGCAAGTCGTCTCACCGGTGCCTTTTGGCCAGATGGATGACCGCCTCGGCATGGGCTTCTTCGCCAAAAGCAGTGCTTTTCCGGTGAAGAGTCTGGGTGCCTGTGCTGGGAGACGACTCCGATGCCCTCAGAACGCAGTCCGATCCACTGGGCTGGCTAGATAGGCCGGCAGTGATCAGGCCAAGCGGAAAGTTGTGATGGGCATGAGAGCCCCGAAGTCAGAAGCACTTTTGGCTTCTAGCTATCTGGACTAGATTTACATAGAAATATTGCCTTTTCAGAAATGCTCTGGACGGCTTTGAAACCTGCATCTGCCCTGGCTTGAGATCCCAGCCAGGCTGTTCTAGAGCTCGGCCCATCAGAGGTCTCCTGGGACTGCCGAGCTCGTTCTCCCGTTGGTGTCAAAATGAGCCGCTTCAGAAGAGCCGGACCTGTAGAGAATCAAAAAAGAAGTAATAAAGACTTAAACCTAAATTATTGCCAGCATAGACCACAAACAGTTTCAGCGTGGTCTTCTTGCGTGGACTCCTTGATTTCCAATGTTGCTTGTAAAAGACAACGGGAATCACATCTCCTCGTCCAGGACTGCTTCATCATCCTTCTGGCTAGGACTGCCTGGAAGAATCGTCCGTGTTGAAACAATAAACTACACATCTATGTCTAGCAAGGCAGCCTCGTCTCATACTCTACAACAACCCTGAAATATCTTAGACATGGAAGAGTGCACCCAAGAGCAGCCCTGCCACGAATGGCAGCCCTTCTTTGACACTTCACAGCGATGTTGCTTACCACCGTCAGTTCATGAAATGCTTGGCAAACGTGTCCAGCAAGATTCGTTTAATCTGGTTTGAGAGTCCTGGGTTGTCGCAAGATTCGTCGCATCTTCATCTCTTTGCGAACGGATTTCAGAACGAACGGCCTTTAGGTTGGAGGCTATTGCTAGTAGGAGCAAGGACACTACTAGGGGCTCCTGGCTTTACTACGAGGAGCAAGAAGCTAGGGGCTCCTGGCATCGCTACTAGGAGCAAGGACGCTACTAGGTTGGAGGCCATCGCTCTTCCTTTGGAGGGCGAAGTAGAGGCCTTCACGCCATGAGCCAAGCTCACGGAGTGCCATGAGGAGGCTGCTTCGCCTTGAACTTGCTAAGGTCCAAGAACAGAAGCAAACAAGACAAACAACATTTGAACGTTGAAAATGCTACATATGAAGGTTGGCTTATGTCAATGTGCGTTCCTGTTTCTACATATGAATCTTGACAAATGCAACTGAATCTGGCGATCGAAGCAGTTCAAGCATGTTGCGAAGCTGCATCACCGACATCCACATGACTCACTGAATCTTGACGTGGGTGGTTCACCAGGATACCCTGCTTGGCGGTCAAGCCAGGGGAGGTCAAGCCACATGGTATTGGGACTCCAAGTTTTGACCCATCCCCACCTTCTTCTTGAATGTTCAATGGATGGATCTCACCCAACTAGCTTGCGGAACTCCCGAAAAAAGAAAAAAGCATGAGCTGACTGGCCGAATGCATAACGATGTAGCACCCATTATGAAAGCATGTTTTATGATGTTTTATGTATGAGCATCACAATTTGTCACCCAAAAACCAGGCGTATCAAAGGTCACCAGGCTAAGGTAAAGAATCAAAGCCAAGTTGTTTGTTGGATTTCTTCTGCCGCACCCAACGCATGCACGTCTTGGCGTTCAAGCGGCTCGCGCTCACGACGTCTTTGGGCAATGTCCAGCTCAATCCTCTTGTCTTCAACCTCCTTTTCCATCTCCTGGCAGTGCCCAAATATCATAAGCCCAGTGTCCAAAACGCTTGAAACGCCTCAGTTTTCAGTGTAAATAGCAATCATATGTAATCACTTCTGAAACGCCACAGCCTCCACCTGCCGAAGAGTCGACGCCAACTCCCGGGCAGTGGTCTCGCGCTCGGACAGGAGGCGACGCCATTCCACCGTTTCTGCACCAGAAATACAGGACTTAAGTCTATCTTGGTCTGCTCAGATCTGCATTCGGTCGCAAGACATTTATAAACTTAGAAAAGGAGTTCTAGAGTTTGCAAATCTCACTTCAAGCATGTACTGCTTTGACTGGGAATTCAAAAAAATAGAAACAGGAAGTAGCTGCCAAGTAGCTGCCAAGTAGCTGCCAAGTAGCTAGTGGTGTGATCTCAGGAGCTAGTGGCTGAAAGGCTTTGGCTGCGTGTTGGTGTTGGGATATGCAGATCCCTGTTTACATACACCCGTCTTGAGCCTTCATCAACACCGGAATCTTCCGGAAGGGCAATCGGCCTCGAAGCAGAAAGTTCGCAGCTCGCTGTTTGGGGAGCGGTTTATAAGGAAACATGCAGAAAGAAAGAACTTGTGAGCTTTATATACGTAAATTTTAAGAATGCGTTTGAACCGTTTGAACTTTGAACACTTTCCAGGCTTGCGGCTCTTCAGTCTCAGGTATGACTTCAGCTCCTCCAAAGCAAGTCTTGGAAAATTCTGAGATGGGGCAAATTGTCCAAGTCAATGGAATGTAAAGAAACTGATAAACCTATACAAATTATAAAGAAGAAGGTTCAAAGTTGTGAGCTGCTTTGGCAACAATGGTCTGGCCTGGCTCTTCTTCTGTTGGAACCGGCTCCGATGTCGCCTAAAGCATTGTCATCAGTGGCACATGGTCATCCTCATCTGCCCAAAACCGGCCTCCGGACGTGGCAGTACTCGTAGCTCCTCATGCAGAGCTTGAATAGGCACACGTGACCAAATGCTCACAGCTGACATCATTTGACCACACCTACCCAAAGAAACTAACAAAAGCACCATGCATGCGGCCAGAAAAACCCTTGACAAAGTCTCTTGACCTCATTTCTCAATGGAGCTAACGCCACATCGTCTGCTTGTCATCTTCCATAGTGGCACAACACGATCCTCTGTGGCCATATGAAGGCCCTCCAGAAACTCTTGCCCACGCTGACGTGCCTGGCCACCATGGTGTTGGGAGGAGAAGTGAGAAAACAACATGGTGCATCCGACGGGGCTTCCCTCTGAACTTGTGGCCTTCTTCCTCCCCGCTGCCTCCAAGGCTGCCGAGCGATACTCGCGAAGTTTGGCTTTGACCTGGCGCATCTGCGCAGACCGGGAAGGAATAAACAGAACTCAGAAGAGACACAAGGAAACAATGTTCTGGCAGTCCATTGTAGAGCCAGGAAGCTGCTGCTGCCGCTGCTGCTGGTGCTGCTCCTCCTCCTACTACTCCTACTACCGCTTCCGCTACCGCTTCTGCTGCTGCTACTGCTATTGCTATCGCCTAATATATATATATATTCACTGAACATAACATCTTTTTGGCTCTTCCCTTCGTGACGTTCCGTTCCGTTCCGTGATTGGTACACACCGAGACTCTTCCCTTGGTCTCCAGACCTCATCGAGTTGCTCCAGCTGCATGCGAGCGGAGTCCACCTAGTCCGACAAGGAATCGAAAGAAAAGGGATCTGTGAAGATCTTGAAAAGATCTGTACATGACATGCTTTGTTTCACATCCACAGAGATCGCGATACAGTAAATCTTTGAGTGCTTCTTCCTTTTTAGCCAAACAAAGCTGCGCACATGTGATTCCAGGGACTTGAGAGAAGGGGGGTGGACGAAAGGTTGTTCGGTAAAGGGAAGGGGAAGGAAAAACCATGGTGTCTGTGACAAAGGGAAGCACCTGGTGATGGTTGTGGCGCGCACACAAACCCAGCGAACGAGCAGCAGACCAGGAGGACTAGCAGGAGCAGCAAACCATGAGGTCCAGCAAAAGTATGCGGAGCAAAAAAAGAAGTCAGGCACGGAATGAACATGAGTGGGAACACACATGAAGAAAAAGCACCAGAACGAGGATGAAGCTCAGGTGAGTAAGTGAGGATGTCCAAGTGATTTGCATGAAGTAGAGAGGTACATGAAGTCGACAAGCTGGATACGAATACAATCACACCAGGCCACTGCACAATTGAAGGGAACTTGATACATACCCGGGAAAAGTTAAACCCCACCGGGCTCCCCAAAAAAGGGTAAGAATCGCCTTTAGTGACCCAAAATCAGATGAAATTGCGCAGCAAATATCAGCTCGCTCCCCATACACCCCTTGATACACCGTGGTACTGGGTATGAAGAGTTTGAAAGAAGTGTTGTAAGTAACATGGTTTGTTCATGTTCACATATGAATTAGTGAACCAATGTGGCGCATCCTTTGGATCCCAGCATGTAATTAGGCTATATAAGTGACAAGACAAGACCAAAAAAGTGATCATTTGGATTCCCCTTAGCCAAGCTAATTGGCCTTACTACTAGGAGCATGAAGCTACGGGCTCCTGGCATCGCTACTAGGAGCAAGGAGGCTAAAGGGCCTTAAACTCAGGTTGCCAGAGGCATCCTGAGGCAACCTTTCGTTATTTGTGCTGGGAAGTTCGGAGTGGGAGCAGCAGCATAGGATTCCTATCCCGTTGGTCACTGGGACATTAGTTTGTTAAGCACCATGGCCGTGGCCCTGCCTCCTTACTTAATTAAGTCAGCGCCTAATTAAGCAAGGGAATAGTTCGCTACTAGCAATAGGAAGCTCCTAGCTAGGACGCAGGATAGTTCACGCTTCTTCAAGCAAGCTCGCCCCGCCTCAGGCAAGGGGAGCTTCCTTGAAGAAGCGCTCGCACTAATAATTTGGTTCCTCTATGCTTAGGGAAACTTACATTTTTGGGGAAAGCGCTGCTTGCCCACTTGCCACGCTAACACCGCCTGCGCTTGCATGGCCTTGATCTGCCGCTCTCGTTGGGCCCTGAGGTAGCTCAAGGATCAGGCCAAAAAGTGGTAAGCATGTTTAGGAGAGTTGGGGATACTCTTATGAAAACGCATTCGCTTCTGCATTATCCAGTAAGGATGAGAGCACAACAGACTCCAGTTCGATGGGTATCTGAACACCCTGTCCTTTCTTGTCGCAGAGCTACCCAAGCTTCTGTGCTCACCGTGACAGATCCTTTCCGCTTGGCAATCCGTCGGCATTTGTTTTGGAGAATCAAAAAGACATCGCTGCTTGACTCCTGCAGCTCCTTGAGTATCTTGAGGAGGTTGAGCTCCGTCAGCCGGCTCTGGCAACCTCCAGCTCATGCTCATCCCATCAAAACCATGGCCCTAACAAACCCACTAGCATGTTCAGATATTGTCTTGGTCCGAGCTGGTTCCAAAAGATTCGACAAAGAGAGATGTCTTGATCCGACTGTGTATCACCCAAAAATGCAATTTCGTCCAAGCTGCTCTGAAGGCAACGAGGGTACTAGCTGCAAGTCCATCTCAGTGTTCAGCACCTGTTCAACACGTTCGAACAAACACATCTCCAAGAAAAGAAGTCCTTCAAGTTTAATCATAGTAATAAACTAGGTCCTTCAACTAAACTTAAGAAATAGATTTAAACCAAAAACAACTGCCTGAAAACATCCGCTTGACTCTACTACCCTCAAAAAGTGACGGGTCACCAGTTTCCGAGTCGACGAGTCGACAAGAGCTCGACCGAAGGAAGACTATAGGACCTAGGAGGTTCCGAACGGGAACTTATTGGATGGATCTAGGATGCTGCTAGAGCCTATTGGGGATGGGAAATACTCAAAGACCTTGACAGGCTCAAGAAAGCAGCGAAAACCGAACCAAACCATAGATGGTTGTCAAGTTCTCACGTCTTCTGCACTGTGATTGATGGACCAGTGAGGTGATTGACAATTCCAACTTTTCTCGGCAAGAAGTACATTACCTTTAAATAGTGCAGTGACCCGAACGAGGCCTCTCCGACGTTCTCCTCCACCTGCTCACTCTCCAACTCTTGGGAAGGCTCACCAGGCTCACCTGACACAATTGTTTGATATAGAACCTCCTGAATCTGGTTACCTCCAATCCAATAACCGTAAGTTGCAAGACATCCGCATGAGTTTCCAAAAAGCCAACACGCGACTTGAGGCAACTGCGGCAACACCAAGTCGCCTTCGTTCTCTATCTTCTCCACCTCTGGTGGCTTCTCCATCTCAACGTCTGTCCTCAGACTCCAATGAATCATCATTCAAACACTCCAGAGATCGGCGGAGATGTCGAACACCTGAGTCACCAAGCCTTGGTGCTTCTTCGCTGACCTCCGGCGCCTTAGATAGAATGCTGACCAAGGGCAGTGACGCTGCCCACCCGCGTCACTGTGTTGCATGGTGCTGCTGCGGTGCGTCCAGATCCGTCTAAGTGAAATCCAACATAACTTAATTATTAATGATCTTACACTCCCTGGAAGTAACATGGAAGTGGAGAATGGCCCCTGGGAAGACCATTTTCCACTACAAACAGGGGGTTTTCCACTTCCATGTTAGTTTTCGAGAGTGTAAACCGACGATTCTTTTTATGTCAGCCAAGTTACGGGTAAAGCTTCCGACTTGTTCTCTGGTCGGAGCAGCGGTTTTCCGTCCTTTGTTGAAACCTCAAGTCATCGATGAATCTTCGAGCAAGGCTTATTCAAAGAGCATTAATTGGAAGCTCCCGAGACTTCAAACCTGAAACCGTATCAGTCTCTATTATTTCTCCTGACCATCGTTGTGACTCTTCCCATAACATAAAAACAACGCAAAGCTGAGACGGCCCGGCACTGAGCCATCCCATTGCGCCAGGCACAGCACCTCGCACAAACATACTAGGACTCTACACTGGGCTTGTCCATCCGGCTAGAACTTCAACATCTCATCCCTTCGAATTTCTGAGACATCCGCATCCACCTGCCGGCGCTGGTTCCACCTGCGCTTGCGCTGGCGGTCACGACGCCAACATCGACCGCACGCGAAACCAAAAACGCCCCACGGGACCTCCGGAGAGTCAATGACCTCAGCACGTGGCATGGCCGAAGAGGTGAAAAAATCCAATGAGATGGGCCATGCTGCGATACAGTACTAAATCAAACGGACTTTAGAAAGAATCTTTAAAAAGTTTTACTGAGTCAAGCATTTGACTAGCCCTACAAGCATTCACAGACAGAAAGGTCCCCTCCTGGGTTCTTGACCTCGACCAGAGCACGCCGAGCTTGTGTTGCAGCGACCTGAAATAGGAACGCGTGTTGCTTGTGACTCCACTGTGATCAGATTTCAGAGCTTTCACTTTGCCGCTGTTCTCGAAGTGGGCGGGTTGGTTCAAGAAATTAACTTTCAAACAGCGTGGAGGCGATTGGAAGCCTTTTGATAGGGCCTCTCTAAGAATGTCCTTCTGGGATACATGCATGTGTACAATGCAAGTATGTATTACAGTGTGAATCTAGGATCGGATGGAGTTCCAAGCTGCTACCAAGGACAGCTATGATGCATATGTTCGTCTTCTTCCGATCTTTCTTGTCGTTCCGTTGGAAGGATAGCAATGACAATATTACTTTGAATTGCACTAGACATATATTGTAAATTTACATATGCATCTGCATGCTCTTCTGCTCCGCCAATTGCCCAGCAACAGCCTTGCCTGGACTATGCGAACCTGGGAGAGCATAGTAAGGGTTTTCTCTGAAAATGCTTCGCGAGCTACAAATCGACGCTTCTAGTGCCTTCAACTGAACCAGCGCCAGCTTGTTCTGAGGCCCCTGCATGCCCATAGGGAGGTACTGTGGCTACCTGATCAAAGAAGCCGAGCACAAAAGATCTTCGGACCTCTTGAGAATGCAAGCCATTGAGGTGCTGTATCGTGCTGCCGGTCAGCTCTTCATGTCTTCTTAGAGTTTTAATTAAACATCTAGAATCCTTTTCAACCTTCCGTTCTTATCCTTTCCTCAGTTTCTCTCTGGCTGTGGTGTCTTCAGCTACACTCTCGGTAGAGGACCAGAGCGCTCTGCAGATCTTCGGTTTCCCTCAAGATGGCGCCCTTTTTGCCGACGACTTCACACCTTGGGCTAATCACGACCGCCATAAAACAGTCGAAACGTCAAACAGCGGGCTACTCACCTGAGCTCCCCGGGCTCATCACCCACCTTCACAATCAGTGGTGGAACCTGCTTTTTCGGTATCAAAAAAGGAGTGTTCTGACTTTGGTCGAGGTGATGTCTCCCAGGATCAAATTGTCTCCCAGGCAAATGTGTGCCTAGAAAATAGTCTCGTTAAAGAGAGCCCAAACACGACCACACGCACACCCACCAGGCCAGCCTCCTGCTGTGCACTGCCACTATTCTTGGCCCTTGAAAGAAGGAAAACAGTCAGGTTCGTTTCCACCACATCTCTAAGCCCTGAACGGAGATGGGAGAGCAGCAGGTTCTGACATGCCCTGTCATGGACCCGGATCAACTCTGCTCGAAGTTCAGCAGATTTGCTGGTTTCTCTTGCAAGAGCCATCCAGGACTTTCGGTCTCCCGGGGTCTCCTGTAATGCAGACGTCAAACGCAAAGCCCAGTTGGAGGATGTCGCCGTCAGCTTTTCCTCCAGCGTTTGGAGCAGCTGTTGGTGGCTCAAGTTCACAGATCCCTCTCTGCTTTTCTGCTTCTCAGCTTCTCTTCTACCATGTTGAAACCATGCCTTCGCAAGCTCCAGCTCCGAGAGACGTTGTTGCTGGTGGATACAGAACTCCTAGCAGTTCCCAGTCGAGACGTAGTGCTTCAATTTCGATCTGTCCGGTCTCCTTCAAGGCCACTTTCTCGGCAATCAGGGCGGCGGTCTCCTGCACCGACCCGACCCAGGATCCGCGGCGGGAAGCAGGCAGCGAAGACGCAAGCAGGTGAACCGGACCTCCCCGGAGGCCATAGCTGCATTGCTCTCTTGCAGCTCTGCCATGGAAGCAAAGACCTTCAACAACAAAATAGCTTCAAACAAAGAAAAGAGAAAACACACGAAAGCACCAAGCAAACGATAACAAGCTGCTTTCGCCCATCAATCGCTGTCAGTCCGGCCCGATTGGCCGCTTCTTCGAGAAGACTGGGAAGTCCCTCCACAAAAGATTGACCATGCGCTTTGTTCACAATTCCTTTTGAGACACAAGGAGCACAGAGAAGATGCATGGAATGGGCAGCTAAAGGCCTCGATGCTCGGTGCATCTTCAAGATCCAGATCCCGCAATGCACTTCTGATGTTTGACCTCAAGCGGCGCCGCTCATCCGGATTGACGTCAAGTGGGCTCTTTTTTGCCGGAAAAAACCGACACCTTGTTGAGCGGCAATTGCTCAGACTCTTACATGGCCTGTGGCATGATCTTCCGCACCTGGACCGTGCAGCATTCACAACGTGACCAGTGACCAGGACCGTGCAGCAAATGCTTAGTCTCCAGCTTTGGCGCTACGGCTTCCTTCAGCATCTGGCATCAGACGTGATCTTTGAAGCAGGCAAACAAGCTTTTAACGTTCCGTTACTAGTCTAAGCTATCATAAGCTATCTGAAATTCCGATTCTTCCCCAATTTCATTTCATGCCATTGTCTCAACATGTCTCAACCATTAGCCTCATTGTGACTCATCATGTCCCAATATTGTCAAAACCTGCCTCTCTTCATGCGTTGCAGCTGCCTCTGTCGCAGATCAGAGACCTGCGGCACGAGTGAAGGTCGGTGGATGGAGCGGATGGAGCCGGTCGAAGAATCCGTTGCATTCGCCGGAATCATGGACCAACGTTGGAAGATGGCCCATCAAAAAAATAAGAATCATCGAAATCCAACGATTTACCAAACAGAAATATCTGCTTGGTAAACTTGAAATATCATCGAAAATCCAACTTTTAAAACATCATCATGAACTCACTCCGCGGACTCCGAAATTCGTTCGATCTGTGCAGATCGCAGCTCTGCAATGCTCTGCAGGTTCGCAGGCTCCCACCTCCCGGCGCAGCTCGCAGTTCTCACGGCAGAGCTCGTCATTGAGGTCACTCGCCTGGGAGCTCGTTCAGAGAGAGAGAGAGGTCCCATAGAGAGTGACGGAGGGTGGCTAGAATAGGACATTGGCACAAAGTGATCGCAGAACTGTCAACGCCTGTTCCAGAAGTTGTGCATAAATGCCCTCGTCGTCCATCTGTCTCGAGCCTGCAGATTCAAAAAATGCCCTCCTGATAGCAGCTCTTCCAAGCACTTTCCAAATGCAAAACCTCAGATCCAGACCCCGGCCAGCCATTCTATCGTGCCTGCCGGCAAGATGCGAAGAAGCCTCATGTCTGATTCAATTCAATATATCTTCTTACTTTCTCACCTGGACGGGGCTCAACACCATGCCGTTCCCAACGAGGCGCTTCATGGCCATGTTCGGCGGTGCAATAGGCCCATAACGACTTTGCTCAGCTTGGCTCTTGTCTTGTCATACAAACCAGCAAGGTATGACATGGTTGCCACAGCTCACTACCGAGCCTGGGAACGCGCATGTGTTTCTCAGGTGTATGATGTCTCAAGGGACCGGTTTCTTCGTGACCGGAGTGTAAGACTTACCCAAATGGTCATGTTCTGAGACCGCTAGAGCTCAAGGAAAGCTAAACCAATCTATTGCATTTCAGCAAAATCCAATGTCTCCCCGATGGTCAAACAAAGTCTGCAAGTCGGAAGTGTGCAACCTAAACAGTGAGCTAGCCAGAAAAATGAGAGGCAAGTCCGAGCTGTTGCCCAAGCATGCAAAAGCACCAGCAAAACTTGCACCATTTCAACTTCAAAGAAATCAAATTCATTTGGGTTCCTTGCCAAACAATCAAACAACTCGTACTCATTTTGTGACCTCTTAGCCGAACATATCCATATCGGCATCTACGGCTTCTTTGGCTTCTGCGCGCTCTTCAGCATCTGCCTTGTCGCCTGAGAAGAGGCACGTGCTCCACATGGATCTTCAAGCTTTGCTTTCAGGAACGGACCGACATCCTTGAGCAGGCCGCCAATCACTGAGCTACCTGTGTGCTTGCAGCTGAAAAGCTCCAAATCCAACATGATAACAACCAAAACAATATCAATAAAGTCAAGAAAACATATATATTCAATTTGATTCATGTTCATTTGTTCTTTGCTGGCCTTGGCCATCTTGGCCAGCTGCCAGCTCTTCTTTGGTGGGGCCAAGCCCTTCGAAGAGCGGCGAGATTAGCGCGCCTGGCGAAACACTGGCAAATTCTAGAAACGCCTTCCTGCCAATCAAAGACGAATCGACGAATCTAACAACCCCAAAATCATTCAACCCGTGTGGTGAAATGAACGATGAACCGATGAACGGATCTACAGCACAATGCTTCCAAGCTCAAGGGCTCCAGGTGCAATCCTGACCCTCAGATTGGTTGCGAAATAAGTTGCAGAAGGAGCAGTGCTCATCCACCTCGAGCCCCATCAAAGGGCCAAGGGGCACCGGGCACCATTCGAGGGCGTGCATGGTTTTCTCTCGCTGTGTCGCTTCGGGTTTTGAGAACACAGAATGAGCTCATGTCACGAAGCTTGTGCGTCGCTCCTTTCTTCAACGCTTGAAGGCTTCACTTACGCTGCATTTTGTTCAGCTTCATGTTGTGCTTTTCCCTTTGACCACTCATTTGCTAGAGCTCCAAGTTTCACACGGCATTATAATGTATATTCCGAATCTGGAAATAGTGAGGAAGAGCTCCACGGAACTTCGTGGAGGGATTCATAAATGAATCTATATATGGGCGTGTATCAAATAGAGTCTCCTTATTGATGAAGACGGGAGGTTGATTTTGGAAGATCTGACTTCTTGCTACCCGTTTGCCACCATTGTAACAAGTGCATCGTATCGCTATTAGTAACAAGGGCAACACTGCGGCAACACTACTATTAGCAAGAAGCTACTGGTAGCTTCTTGCTACCAACGATGTACTTGTTACAATGACGGCAAACAACACTTTCTGCAGCAGAGGAAGGCGATGTTTCAAGGGAGAAGGTTTCAATTTTGAGCGGCGAAGCAGTGCTCAGTCATCGATGTTTCATGTTTCAGGCAGGGTGAGAGGCCAAAAAGCCCCAAATTGACTGCGTTGTTTAGATCCTATTTCTTCAAAAGATTGAGAAGCGGAGTGTCACCCCATCTGACTCAACGCTCGTATCGAGTGACAAAGCTTGTGCTAGAACTCAGCAGTATGGGTAGAAATAAAGTACATGACATGTACAAACACACACATATGCGCAATCCGTACACACAGAATAGTTAGCTTCGTGTTGATTGTGAATTAGACACAAAAGGCACATGAGATAGGATGCTTGTGTGTATTCTCATCTAGATGTTGTTTGACAGTCTCATGTAAACAGGCTCATCATTCATGAGCTCGCCTGTTGCGTTGGTTTTATCCCAGCGCTTGAGACCAGCAGCTTCCTTGCTGTTCAAACAAGAATCCAACCGCACAAGGCAAGGGATATGACTTGCTGCCACAATGGAAGAGTAGCTCTGACCTGCTGCTCTCAGAACCCAAAACAACAAGCTGTGTCTGCAATATCATTCCTCGTCTTGCTCTTCCGTCTCACCGTCGGCAAAAATATCGCGATCTTCTGCCTAAACAAGCAGCTAATCTCCTAAGGGCCTGAGTGCTTGCATGTCAGAGCCCGTTCAGTGCCTTGGATTTCAAGGGTGTCAGTGGACGGGCTTCGGTTGCAACATCCTGGCAACTCTCGGGATTGATGAAACTCTTTTCAAATCCATGTTCACCAAATATGCTTGCTGAAACCACCAAACCGAGCAGAACGAAACAGCAAAGCTATTCAAAAGAAGAACAAAACTTTTGCTGGCTCCAAGCCTCTGCCTCATCTTCCTCCCCATCAGGGCCCAATACAGCTCCTGGATTGGCAGCCATAGCCTTTGCCATTTGTGCCAAAGCCTTGCACATGCAAAACTAAATATCTGAAATGATGCTGCTAGTTGATGAGCGAAAGGAACTTTGAATTGCACAAGTTGCTAGGTGCTTTGGAAGAACTCATGCCTCAGCTTCTGCCTCTGCATCATCCTCCATCATCTCTTCCTCTTCCTCTTCCCCGACCTTGCCCGAGAATCTCAGAATAAAACACGCACACACATACAATGCCTGCAAAAGTGTGTCATCGAAAAATGCAAAGAACTGGAAAACTCGAGTCCAACCCTGGCCCTTGATCTTCCTGTTCAATAGGAAACTCACAACGGCAGGTATGCCTGTCTCACAATGGAAACTCTCCAAGCCTGCAGTTCAGTTCGCTGCAGTCTTGTCATTACGTCTCCAAGGCAAGAGAAACCCACCTTGACAATCTGAGAGGAGAAAAAAGAGTCTTTGACTCTTGTTGGTTCGAGCCTGTGTACAAACGCGAAGAGATGGTGCTGCGATGTGCGACATGCTGATGTAGATCTCTACATGTGGCTACTTACGCATGGCCACCAGCTTCTCCGCCAGCTCCTGAACCCGAGCACCCTGTGTCGTGGTGGCCACCCACTCCACGGGAATTCCCTCGGCTGAAGAGATGGAGCCGAAGCAGGCACCTGCAATGGAGGCACGGCTTGCAGTGCAACCACCGCAGGCAATGCTGGCCTCAACAGCTTCAACATAAGTTGGTTCCTGTGCGCAGTGCAGAGGCAAAATCAGAGACTGAGGTAAAGATCAGGCAAGTCCTGCGAAGGGAAAGCTTACAGCTTCAGGTTTCAGCTTCATGCCTGCATCCGAATGCGACAGCCCTGCCAGTTCACCGACGACACGCTCCAACGTCTTGGCCACTTGATCGTCCAAGGTCGTTTTGAAAGCACGCTCGGGATCCATCAACTCCTTCGTTGCCAAAGCAATCGCTTCTTGGACAGAAGCTGTGCCGAGCACCAGTTTCTCCAAGACACGTGCAAAGCCACAGGCAAACGCGGCAGCCTTGTCAGTGTTCTGCACGACTCGGACGGCCGTATCAACTGTGGGCAGCATGTTGGGGTCTCCGGCAAATAAAGCTACCACTGGAGCGACTTTGCAAACTCCGTCCACCTGCAGCTACAGTGAAAATGGACTCGCTGATGGTGTGCCTTCCTCTTCTAATTTCAAACATCTTTAAACGTGTTCATCAGTGTAACTCCCCTGAGAGCTGTTATCAACTCTGGCCTGTTCATCAGTGGAGCCGCACTCTGGATAGAGCTTCTTCTCATTCACAAAGTTCTTAAGAAAGCCCTAGCGATCAACGAGAGTTCCATGACTTCAATCAACCAATGATGTCCTTTTGGCACAACGCGAGGAGTCCAGACCCCTTGGTTGCTCACCTGAAACTGTCCCCTTCTGCAACCTTCCCATGTTCAACCGTTTTGAAAAACCAACCAAGGCCGTAGGCCGCTTAAGAAGGCCCTGCACGCTGCAGCTTTTCACCTGCCTTGATGGAGCCATGACGCCAGGGGCCCGGCAACGGCATGGACCACTTCCTCTCCGCTTCGATGACGTTCCCCTCGGCATCCGTGGGATTCGTCTTCAGCTCCGGCCAGTTCTCCTCGATTCCGGACACCGAGTGACGCTTCGGATCCAAAAAGAGGTGGACACACCTCGTCTGTTGACACACCTCGTCTGCTGTAACCCGACATGGATCCTTAACGAAATCTCAAGAACTGCTCCTGATCAACAGCCTCCACCTCATACGGACTGGCCTTTCCAAACCTGGCCTCCAGTCGCTTTGCAAAGTCCTCACAGGTTTCCCAAGTCAAAGGAAGGATTGAGAAGGCATTTTGTAAACTCTGAAAGAAGAACACATAACAAAAGCTGTTCAGTGAGAGTCCCCTTCAACGGATTCAACGGATGCTGCTTAACAGCTCTGGAAGCCCTCGCCGGCCCTTGCCTCTGCATCCAACTTGCCGTGGCATTCAACCAAGGATTCCAAGAGTGCCATGCTCTGTTCACCATAGCAGCTAAAGCCTGCCCGACACAATGATACACAATGCAAGAGAGAGAGAGAGAGAAGGCCCTGCAACTCACCGACTCCCATTGAAAAGGATGTGAATGATCTATGCGGGATGCATCGCATGCACTGGCTCTCCTCCTCGCGCTGTGGTGTAGAAGACATTTCCCGGCGGATCACAAAAGGCCGGGCCACTCTTTGCCTTCCAACGATTTCGCTGGGCCAACCAAGGCCAACAAACCAAAGCGACTGGTGAGAAAATCGTAGCGTCGTCCGATCGCTCCGTTCGTAGCGATGCCAGGAGCCCCGTTCGTAGCGAACCTTGTTCTTAGTAGCAAGGCCAGGAGGTTCTAGTAGCGTCCTTGCTCCTAGAATTCCTTTAGAAAATACTTCTTCAAGTCTCTTTTTGGTCTATATTGTCCAGGGGATCCTTTTGGTCCTTTCCTTTGGCCTGCTTGAGGTGATCTGCCAGCTTTGCCGGGTCATAGCACCAGTGCACAGGCACAGCAGCAGCGTCTGCTACCAAGGAGCCCAGCACAGCTCCCCGTGCGCGCGCAGGAATAGCGGCCGCCATGAGTCGATGCGTTGTTTGAGACGATGACGTTCTTCTCTTGTGAGCCAACTGTCACGAAAACTGCGTCTGTTTACAACAGCGATGGCCTCCAACCTACTAGCGATAGCCTTCACCCTAGAAACAAGGACTGTCTCTAGTAAAGCAAAGAAATATGAACCAAGACTAAGGTCCCCCATCTTCGGCATGAATCCGACTTTCATGCAGGTCTATATCATATCACAATCGTTTGTAGCACGCATGCATCCCTTCACCCTTCCAAGTGGCCTCCATCTCGCCATTTGCACCCTCCTCTGGGACGTGGGCTTGAGGCTCTGCCTCACCTTCCGGCTCCACGGCTTCTCCCTGGCAAGTCCCCTCAGTTGGAGGAAAAGCTGACATGTTGCCAAAAAAACAAAGACCAGCTGACGCCATGAAAATGTGGTGAATGACTTGATGTGTGTGCAACGTCCAACGTCAGGTGCACATTTGAGCCAACACTGATCCCTCCACACCTTGGAGGCCCATGCAAAGCGCACCACCTTCTTGCAGCCAATGGAAGACTCACAACCCCTCAACTTTGAGAGTGTGCATTCCACAAACAGCAAACGCAGACACACAACCCGATGGGATGGGATCATGTGGCTCTCTTGCAAGAGAGACTTGGGATGGTTAACCCCTGTTGTTCCGCTTTCTGAAATCCAAGGCACCATGGCTGTGCAGTCATCTTGGCTGCCTTTTTCACGCGCACGCTTTACCAAGGCCTGGCAAATGATATCCACTGTGGACTCACCGGAAAACGATTCAAGAAAGGATGACGAATCACAAGTTACAGAGCACGAAAAACGATAGAGACCAAGAGCTGACGCAGAAGCAGAAAGGCGCAAATCACGAATGGGGAACCTGCTCGCAACTCAAGCGAGCATTTGGAAGCTAGGTGTAGTCTGCAAACCTTTGTATTGTTGTCCGTGATGGACTAGCCCTTATAGCATCGTGCAACTGTCCAGAAGTCTTTTGTACCGCGCTTGACCTTGACGACTCCTTGGAAAAACATCGGTGATCCTGTAATTGACGAAGTCCCTAAGTGGTCAGGAATCACCGACGTTCAGAAGCTCTGCGTGCTCCGCTCTGGTCCGGCCTCCGCAGCCTGCTGTTCTGTCTGGCCAGTGAGCAAGTGGTGCCGGACCAGGGCCACCTCATGTCTCGTTCCCACCGTCCTTTTCACGTCCAGCTGCCCAGCTCACATCCCATCCGTTGCAGCTGACCTTTGAAGGTGCTTTCCAGAGCTTTCCATGACTTGGACTTGGGCTGAATCCTTGTCTGTCAGGACATCCCAGATGCCGTCCGTTGCGAGGATTACAAACCTGAGCCAAATCTCAGCCTGGCCACAACTTTCAAACGAAAGATGCCGTGTTTGAGCTCTTCTGTTAGCTTGAAACCAGTGCAGGAAAGTTGCTCATCTGCATCCCAGTCCACCTGCACTATGCGGTGGCGTAGAAATCATTGCGCTTCAAACAAAAGAAGAGGCGTGCTCGTTTGCCGCTGATGCCTCGTGGACGGTGATCTCAGGCTCTGCACTGACAATGTCAGGACCTGAAAATGACGATTCGCAACGCAGTGCACAAAGTGAATTTCGGAGCAGTTTCAAGAGGTCCTCTGCAACTGTTGGAATGAGAAGAGGAATGAACAGGAAAACGATTCAAAGCAAAACTCTTCAAAAGAGACAAAATCTTCTGTCTCTTCGAGTTTGAGACGTCCAAAACAAAGCGGTCGACACCGGGGCGGGTTTTTTCGGGCGAGAAAAACCGATCTCGCCTTTGAAGTCTTTGTCCCCAAAGCTGCGAGACACCGCCAAGCCGGCGATCTTGCTGGTGAGGCCTGGGGATCGTGGGAGTTCTCGAGGAAAAGGACCGCAAGGCAATAGGGCTAATTAGCCAGTTGGGCATTCGACTTTTTAAAAGCCTACTGAAAAGCGTGCGATGCGCCATGTATTCAAAAGCTTACCCACTGCAATGGTCGAATCTCTTCAGCTGCCTTTTTCAGATCAGGTGCCCATTGTGAGCAAATGAAACGAGTGACCATGTGGGCAAGGCTTTGTCACAGAAACATGTGATGCACCACCTGACAGCCAAAACTTTGATACGCTGTTCGAGTGATACTAAGCTCTTTCATCACGTCACAAGCAGCGACCAACGAAGCCCCGAAGCAAGGCAGCGACATCTGCGAACACGGCTCGCCATGGGGAGACGTGGTGTTAACTTCACAGACCTTCACCATATCCAAGCTTTGACCCGGTGCAACCCACTGGCTCTGAGATCGAAGCTCCTTTTCAAATCTCGGCTGAAGACCAGGCAGTTGAGCAGTGCCTCCAAAGAGAATGATGTTTTCCAGAAGCTTCCCACGTAAATTGATGTTGCTCTGCAACCGCAGACTGCTCATCACCAAAGAAGGCAACGTTTCACTGGGCGCCGCAAAGGGTTCCCTGGACGCATTTGTAGATGCACACGCTGACGCACTCGCTTGCACATCGAAAAGCAGCTCTCCGCACAGAAAGCCTTTCTCACGCTCCTTCGCTGGGCCGTGAGTCGAGTCCAGCATCTTCAGCTTTTGAAGCTCCGCATCGAAATCTTGAGCAACCCAAGCCGACTTCTCCTTGGCTTTTTCAGCGTCTTGCAAATCAAGATTCAACAAAGAAGACATCTGAGACGTTAGTGCAGCTCCTCCAATTCTTCCAAAAGTACTGTTGTGCGTCTGAGGATAGCCTTCTTCTACAGGCGTGACTCGGATCCCACCATGCCCAATATCAACCACTAGCGCTGTTGCCAGTCCGGCTCCCAAAGTGGCTAAAAATGTTGAGCTTAATAGGCAAATCGATTTGAAGTCGCTCATTTTCTCAAATAAAGTTTCGCAAAGCGCTTCACGCGCACTTCGCAATGTATTGATTGGCATCGACACAATCAGCCTATCCTTGGTGCTGTCAGTCAGACTTTCCCAAAAAGGGGCATCAGCAAGGCTGTCGAGACTTCTGGGTGTTGGATGCACTTTGAGTCCTGAGAGGCATCCATCTCCCGCAAGTTGGCTTACTTTGAAGCTATGTTCACCACAGTCCACGATCTGTGTCATGTGTCGACTTTGAGTGTGACCGCACTGCAGTTCGAGTTTCGGTGATTCTCCACCATTGCTGATCAGGATCGCAGGCTCTTGAGATGGCTTAAACTCACACAGCCTGCGGTTGACACGCTTGAAATTGGAGGAGTCGGCTTCACCTAGACACTCGATTTGTTTCCTCTTGATGTAAAGCACGCTCAGGTCCCAGCGCTTCTTTTGTGGCAATACACAGCGCCAAACACCCTGCACTTCCACCACCCCTCCATCTGCAGCCTCAGGAGGCAAGTGAAGTCAATCACAGCTCAAGAATCTCTCAGACCTTTTCCATTGCGAGGGCCTCAATTCTCTTCTTCTCCGCAGGAAGGTTCGGTTTGTGGTCCTTCGAAGAGCTGACTCTCTCAAAATTGGCTTTGTCGTTGCATTCAGTTTGGAGTTTCCTCAGTGAGACGCTGTGCAGCGCCTGCGGTACCTCAAATGCAGCATGCTTTTTGAAGCGAACAGAATTGAAAGAAAACAAAAAACGTTGCATCCTTTCTTCTCACTCCCTCCTCTTTCTTAGCAACTACCCCTTCCTTTTAGTCTGTTTTGTTCTTTTTTTCCAAACGGATGTTTGCGTCTCGGAGGTCACACAGCACCGCCCGCGAGTCCCCACCTCGGACGGCGACGGGGCGTTTTTCGCACCAAACAGAACGGAAACAGAGCACAGAGACACCCCACGGTGCTCAGCAGGCTTTGAATCGGTCACTGTAACAGTAAGCCAATCATATACAACCACCAACGTTGGAGGCTCTTGCGGTCAAAGCACAGTTGGCCAGAAAAAGACGCAGGCGCATTTGCTCATCAGGTCCAAACACGGTCATGGTGCAGGCCTTATGATGTGGCGCTCCTCTCGCTCCTCTCGCCATACATGGAAAGGCGCTCATTCGAGCAGAAGGCCGTGAGGTTCAGGCCGTGCTCCCCGAGCAGTCGTCCGTCTTCTTCGCATGTTGCAGGTAGTTATGCTCCGTCTGCTTGAAGCCACCCAGCAGGGCAGTCTTCACAGCGATCTGCGACAGGCTAAAGCAAAACGGGCGAGTTGATGTTCCCGAAATGACTAGGACTACTACAAGTCTACACCCAAAACGAATGTTTCGAAGTGCTTGGTGGGCAAAAAGATCGAATGCTATTAAAGGTAGTTTGGCAATTCATGACAATGGCAGTTCGTTCTGCAGTGGATCGCAACCGCACATCAAAACAGGCGTGTGTTCGAAGCATCGAACCCCTCCAAATAGGTGAACTCCAGTTTGCAGTTTGATGTTTGCAGTTTGCATGTGATTTGCAAAGCACCAACCTCATCGCTGACATTTCTGGCTCGGTCTCTGAGCCGGGCAAGGATGTTCTTGCCCAAGTGAGTGGACTTAGCAGGAAAAGAAATTCGGTCCCCACGCTTTGTGGAGATCTCAGGCCATAAGTTCCGTGCCACATGTTCTGCACAGTAAGGTCCACCATGACCGTCAAAGACGCCGAAAAACACGAAAGATGCAGTCTCACCAAGCCTAGGAACACCATGAAGCTATGCTTCAATGAGAATCACGAAACGAAACACTAAAGCATGAATCTATGCTTGTCTGAGGAAAATACACGTTGATCGGCAGTTTCACTTTGTCAACCAAGAAGTCTTCGCAGGTCTCCTTGCCTGGCGACTTCGGCAAAGATGCTGTTTGCTTGCTGTCTTGGATAGAAAGACCTACGCTTCCAAAAAGAAAAAGTGACTACTCTGGCGAAGCAAAATATGTGGGTCTGGACCATCGACAATCAGCAAATCTTGATCCCCTTTGATGACAAAACTGATGACAAAACAATATAAAGGGTTATGTTCGGACACGCGCTAGAATGTGCTTTTAATGGCATGCCTTCCGCCTTGTCCTGGTGAAAGCCACACCTGCAAGCAACTTTTGGGGGATTTATGTTTACCAGATTGCTTCCAGCATGAACATATGCTTGTTCGTTGCACCAGCACTGCAGTCAAACTACATCCTGATACATTGAACCCGAGATACCCCAAGTATAGCAGCTAGTATATGGCAAAAGAACGCACGCGGTCGACACAGTTCTCGTCGTTAAGAACGAAAACGGCGTACATGGATGGGCGGGCAGCCGGCAGCCGTGTACTCATGCGCACAAACACAAGGGCCGTTCCACCCTTTAAACTGAAGACTGTACCAGAATGTCACATCTCTAGCCAAGTTGCTTTAACTCCTCTTCCAGGTCTATCTCCACCGAGGATGCCTTCCAAAACAGCTACTGTAAATCAAAAAATCTGCGTTGTGCCTACAATGCTCTGAGTCAATTGGAGAAATGGTTCCCGATGCACACCGGAATCGTGGCACACCACTCAATGTTCAGCGGTGTTCAACAGTGAACATAATAACTGCAACTTTGATATTAAAGAAACAATAAAAACAATCAGGCAACTTTGACGAAGAAAATCAGGCAAGTTAGACTCGTCTCGACAGAATGTGTTCCTGGCCTCAGAGCCATCGACTTCGCCATTTTCCTCTGCTTGCTCCTGGGTCTCCTCGGGAGCATCTGCATCACCAGCCTGCGGGGGCAAACGCACCAAAGGCTGCGTTATCATATAGTTTTTGGAAAGCTAGACCTTTTGGGAAGACTTCAAAAGAAGAACTTTAACCGCGGTGCTATCCCAATTGCTATGGATCATTAATGAGAGACCGGTGACTTGAATTTCACTGAAAGAATGCTATCTATGCAGAAACAATCTGCAGAGTGTCACACTAAGACCTATTCAGAAAAATGTTGCGGATCAAGCACAACCTGAGTTCGATCTGATGCCTCGGCAGTCTTCACACCAACAGCACACATCCGCCCATCATCAGTTTGACCTTGCATATGTGCACGTCCTCTGGCAAGCGCGACTGTGGATTTAGCAACAACATTCATATCAACCAAAGTGTCTTAAGCGAAAATGCACCTGAGGCTGGCAGGTCACTAATCCAGTATCTTTCCGGCTTCTTGTCTTTCAATGACTTAGGCCGTGGCCAAGACGGAAGGTGACCAACTCCTCAGCCTCGAAGTGGCTCTTTCGGCGACACGGCGACCAACGGAAAAAACATGAGCGCAATCAAAGGAGAAAAAGAACAGCTCCAACTAATAGTCATGGCCTAAAACTCAGAAGGATGGCTTCCAACCTAATAGTCATGGCC